AAAGCCAAAAAAAAAAAAAAAGAAACAAGAAAAAACCAAACCCACTGACATCGAGTCGATTCTGACTTATGGAGATCCCATGTGTTACAGAGTGGAACTACTCCATAGGGTTTTCTTGGCTATAATCTTTCAGAAGTTCACCAGGCCTTTCTTTCCCTGGAGCTGGGTTCGGACCACCAATCTTAAGGTTAGCACTCCACGAGAACAGGGGCATTATTTTGTTCTCTGCCGACTCCAGCTCCTACACCTGCACCTGGCATAGAGTAAATGCTCACAGAATAGTTGTTGGTGGAATGAATTAATTAATGGATGCAAAAGCCCACCCAGCTCTCTGTACTTGGAGTGTTCTTTCTACCTTCTCCAGGAAGCCTTCTCAGAAGCCTCCATGCAACATCAAGTCTTCTGCCATTGCTTGCTCCTCATTCGCTATGAATATCATTGCCCTTAACAATGGCAATATCATGATGTGTTTATGTGGCTGTCTCAGCAGTAGATTCTCTGAGATTTTTATATTTTTATCTCCAGCACCTAGCCCAGTACTTGCCCACAGAAGACAGTAAAATTTTTTTGAATAAATGGATGAGCGAAATAAATTTATCTTTTTATACTACTCAGACTTAACACCCCCCAACCTCATTTTCTGTCTAGTTCTGGCCTGGTGGCGCAGTGGTTGAGAGCTACAGCTGCGAACCAAAAGCTCGGCAGTTTGAATCCACCAGCCGCTCCCTGGAAACCCTGAGGGGCAGTTCTACTCTGTCCTACAGGGTCACTATGAGTTGGAATCGACTCGACAGCAACGGGTTTGTTTTTTTAGTTTTTAGTGAAAAGGTTAAAAGCTTGGGTTATGAAAGCAAAAAGACTTGGGTTCAAATTTCAGTTCTGCTAGCAACTTACTTAAACTCTTTACACCTTAGTTTCTACTTCTTTAAAGTGAGCACCCACTTCTGGAACAGTTATACAGATTAATGCAATAACATCTGGTAAACACTCAGTATAGTACCTGGCACACTGTAGGTGATCAGTTAATACTAGCTAATCTTTCAGTAGAGGTTTGTACTTTTCTTTATATAGGTCCCAGTCACATCTTGTTAAGGCTATTCCCCAGCATTCTAAGCACTTTTTCTTGCTGTAGTGAATGGCATTTTTTCCCATTATTTTTTTTCTAACTGGTTAGTGCTGATATACAGAAAAACCTATTGATTTTATATATTCATCTTGCATCCAGCCGGGTTTCTGAACTCTTATTAATTCTAAAGATTTCTCAGTGGATTCCCTTGGGTGTTTTAGGTACACAATCATGTTGTCTACAAATAATGATAATTTTGAGGAGATAAGTCTTTTGAGAAGTTTGGCAGGAAAGTTCAATTCAATTCTGCAAATATTTATTGACTGATAAGGTCAATTTTGGACAAATTTAGTTGGAGATGCCAGTGGGACATGCAGACGGAGATGGCCAGAAGGCAATTAGGGCTGCAGACTGGTATTTGGGAGCACGGCCTGGGCTGGAGATACAGATTTGCCGAAGCTATGCAATTAGTGAAACCGCCCTAAGAGGAAACACAGCGGAGGGTTGCGGATGCTGGATAAACCACCAGGCCCACTGACGATGTCTCACCTGCCGCAGGGGAGCCAACTATACACTCAAGTCTAGATCAGACCCCAGCCATCTCTGTGCCTGCCGTCTGGCAGGGCACTTTGTTTGGGCAAATGGGAAGAGCAGGGGTAAATAGAATCTTTGTCTCTCGGCAATCACCCTTTACGGTAGACCAGAGGCTTCAGTCGTCGGGAGGCTGGCACCGAGCCCTGTCTTAGCTCCTCTCCCTGCACATCATGCTTCAGTCACACCAAACAGTTCATCACCTGTAAACATCCCAGGGCCCTTTAGGCTTTTACAAATGCTTGGCACTTTGCTTGGAATGCTCTTCCCCTGCCTTCTCTACCTGTTGATGTTGTTAGCTGTCGTCAAGTCAATTCTGACTTGTGGAAACCCCAGGTGTGCAGAGTAGAACTGCTCCATAAGGTTTTCGAGTCCGTGACCTGTCACAAGCAGATTGCCAGGCTGTCTTCAGAGGCACCTCTGAGTGGGTTTGAATTGCCAACCTTTCAGCTGGTAGTGGGGCACTTAACTGTTTGCACCACCCAGGATCCTGCCTTCTCTACCTAGTGAACTTTATTCACTGTTCCAGATTCAGTTCACACAGCACCTCCCCTGAGGAGCCTTCCCTGATTTCCTGGGGAGACTTCCTCTCTCTCACTACAACAGGCGTCCATTTGGCTTCACTCAACTCCAGGACTCTTTCTTCCTAATTTGCTTTCCAAAAAAAACAAAGCTGACTTGCCACTCTTGCTGAAAATCCTTCAATAGTTTCTCTGGATCCTCTGGATAAAGTACCAAATCCTAAGTATGGTACATAAGATCCCCATGGGCCAGCCCCTGCTCCTCCCCCAGGCTTCGCGTCTTGCCACTCTTGCCCTTAAATGACACTCCAGCCAAGTCAGACATCGCTTGGTTCCTTTAACGCTCTGTGCTCTTTTGCTTACTTGGGAGTCTTGAGAGGTGCTGCTCCCTCTGGTTGAAGCAACCTTTCCCCACCTCCGGGCCTGGCCAACTCTTACTCAACTTTTAGGTCACAGCTTAAATTTCGCTGCCCTCAGGAACCTCACTGACCACTACACTATGCGGTACTCCTCTCACCCCAACTCACACACAAGCACACACCCTGCTGTGTGTTCTCACAGAGCCCTGCACCCCCATCGTTCACCAGGAATACGTTATGGCAGTGTTTAGTGTCTGTATTCCCCCAGAGATGTGGATTCCATGAAGGCAGAGACCCTGTTCTGTCGTGTTCACCCTGATTCCCAGTACCCAGCACATTGCGAGGAACACAGTAGGTACCCAGGAGAAATCGGTGTAACGCTGCACCTTGCACATAGCTCTACTAGGTGGTGAATCCTACTGAAACCCAGAGCCAGAGCTTCTCCAGGGTCCCGCTCCTCTGTAATCCTGGTGCCAAGACCACACCGGGTATACTTTAGATGTGCTCTAAGCATTAGATGACAGAGTTATCACAGATGCTTCTACTGAAGTTGTGCACTGCTGTAGTGGTTCTCCTAGAGATTTCCATTAATGTGGGATAGTCTAGTTCAGGGTTCTCAGCCTCAGCACTACTGACTTTCTGGGCTGGATAACGCTTTGCCATGGGGGTTGTCCTGTGCATTGCAGGATGGTTTGTAGCATTCCTGGCCTCCACCCACCAGATGCCAGTACCACTCTCCTCTAGTTGCAACACCAAAAATGTGTGCAGGCGTTGTCATATGTCCCCTGGGGTAAAACTGCCTCCCAGTGGAAAACCACAGGTCAATTCTTAGCTGTTCTGGAGTTCTTAATGAAAGCTAGAAATACTCACTCCAGGATAGTGTGTACAGGGATATAAGCCCCCAAATTCTGTATTCATTTCAAGGGATTCACGAACTGAAGAACTCATTCATGGACCTTTTAGGCTAGAATTCTTAACTTTTTCTGTGCCCTAAGCCCCTCTGGCAACATAGTGAAGCCCATGGACCATTCTCAAATCATGTTTTCACGTGCACAGAACAAAACACATAGAATTACAAAAGTAAACAATTATATCGAATATAGTTATCAAAATATGTTAAAAATTTTCCATATAGTAATATACGTATTCCTTTATTAATATATTATTAACAAGATCTAGCAGTGGACCTAATAAAGACTTTAGCATGAGGCATAAATGCCATTTCAAAATGGTTGCAGTAACTATAATGTTCTATGAAAATATCTGTGATCTCATCAGTGATAGATTCACAGGTATTGCTAATATTATTGTACTTTGTTGCCTATATTCTTAATTGATAGAAGTGGTAAGCATAAATAGAAGATTACTTCCTGTCCAGAGGTGGGAAGGGACAGGAACTGGTTGAATGGACACAAGAAGCCTGGGGTGGAAGAGGGGGATTGCAACTAATGTCACGTAACAGTATGTGTATAAATTTTTGTTTGAGAAATTGACTTGAGCTGTAAACTTTCATCTAAAACACAATTAAAAAAAAAAAAGACAGAGAGGAAACAAATGAAGTGAGTCTTATGATTGCCCAAGTCACTGCCTGCACAGACTTTCCAAGCTACTGTGCAGACAGGGAGTACCCAAGTGGAGCCAAAGTTTAAGAGACAGAGAAGGGAATTTGGGGAGACCAAGACAACCACGGTTCATAGGGCAGAGTACCAGAGAGAAGAGACCTACACAGAAAGACAGCACTAGATACCTGCAGAGGGTTCCCCTCAAGTCTTAGCTCAGTACTGATCAGCACATCCATCTGTGGAAAGAACCATGTGAAAGAAGCAGACAGAAAAGTCCTTGGAGCTCATACAGAGTTAGAAGTAGTTCGTGCTTCCACCAGCAAAGTGAGGAAATGCCATAAAATATGGGGCATCAGGTGAGTACGCCAAAGAGCTTTACCTCAGTAATGGGTAAAAATTCACCCTACATGAAAGCTGCTCTGGTTCTACCTAATGAAGCTTAAAGAAAGTCCTGAAAGGACCAGTTTCCACGTACTTTAATTGCATCCCAAAACAAGAGTGATAATAATAATCAAAAGAATATTCTACACTCCACAAGGTAAAATTCACAATGTCTGGCACCAATCAAAAATACTCGGGCACGCAAACACACAGGAAATTATGACACATAATAAGGAAAAAAATTAATACACTGAAACCGACCCAGAAATTACACAGATTATAATCAGTAAACAAGAACATTAAAACATTTAATATAACTATGGTCCATATCTTCAAGAAGACAGAGGAAAATCAGAGCATGTTAAGAGATTTGGAAGGTATGTTTAAAAAAGAAAGACTAAAATAAAACTTCTACAGAAGAAAAATCCAATGTCTGAGATGAAAAACACAAAAGATGGGATAACAACAAAATAGACACCAAGAGAAAAGAATAGTTACTTGAAGACAAATCAATAGAAACTATGCATAATGTCACACACAAATGAACTTGTGTAAAAACTAGTGGAATCTGAATAAAGTCTGCATCTATTAAGATGATCATATGGTTTTACTGCTTTAATTTGTAATATGACCAATTTACATTTATTAATCCTCAGATGAGTCCCTGGGAGGCACAGTTAAGTAAGTGCTCGACTACTAGCCAAAAGGTTGGTGGTTTGAAACCACCCAGAAATATCTTGGAAGACAGGCCTGGTGATCTCCTTCTGAAAGGTCACAGCTTTGAAAACCCTATGGAGCAGTTCTACTCTGCACACGTGGGGTTGCCATGAGTCAGATCTGGAGGTCTATTGGTCTGTGATTTTCTTTCTTAGTAATGTCTTTGGGTTTAGTATTAGGGTTTTGCTGGCCTTGTGAAATAAAGTGGGCAGTGACGCTAAATAAATAAATAGGAGATTACTGAAAATGAAGGTGCAATTTTCCTCATCCAAGTTAGGGACGCCCTGAATTATATCAAGAACCCCAGAGGCACAAGTCAAATTCAATCTTTCATTCAAGCAAATCTGAGGAGGGATGCTTAATGCCCTGGCTAAGCTCCAGGCTGTACATGTGGGGGTTGGATACTGAAGGGGTGGGGTGCTAGTGGAGGGAGGATTGCAGGATAGTGTATTTTATGGCCCATGCCCTCAAGAAGTTCATAGTAAAGTATCAGATACACAGAGAAATGGCCAATCTTACTAATTGTGCCTCCGCTTGGGAGTTCCTAACCAAAAAGTTTCAGGTTCAGGTCCGCCTACAGTGCCTCAAAAGAAAGGCCTGGCGATCTAATTCCAGAAAATCCACCATTGAAAACCCTATGGAGCACAGTTCTACTCTGACATATATGGGATCGGCATGTGTCAGAATCGCCTCGATGGCAAGTAGTTTACTGGTATGTCTCTGCTTGACAAGTGATTCAGGAGGAGCGTATTGCTGGATCTCAGGGGAACAGAAGAGAGCGCATGCAAACAAATCCAGAGTACTGGTGCTTTTATGCAGGTCTGAGAAGGGGATCAACACTTACCCTGGGCTTCCTTAACATTATCTCCCATTACACTCACGATGACCCTTCTAAACTGTTCTTATACACCACCCCCCCAACACCCTACCATTTCACAGATGAAGAAACCAAGCTCCACAGTTTTAAGTACATACTCAAGGTCAATCAGGTGACTGTGGAAGAGCTGGGCTTCAACCCCAGACCAGTGTGAGAGCAAAGCCCACACTCAGGCTCTCTGCCTCCACCGTCCCTCCCTCTGCCAGGCTGCAGGAAACCCAGACACCATCTTGGGAGCCCACTCTGAGCGTTCCGGTCCTGG